TATATATATGGGTGCTTGTTGATGGTTTTAAATTATTTTTAAGAGCATATAAATTAGTTACTCATTCCTGTATAAACCCTGTCTATTTATGAAGTAAAAAATTGAGTATTTGACCATCTATTTTACGAAACAGGGTAGGTTTAGTTTCCCTAGTCGCCAATGGTTTCTTCTAATGAGAAACAATCTGTGGAGACACACAGATTAGGATTATGCAGCGAGACCTTCAGACCTTAAAGATTTAAAACTCTTTACCTAAACTAAAATGTCAAAATGTGCAAGGAAGCAGGTAAAGAGGATACAACAGTAAAAGTTTTTCCCTCAAGTATTTACTGTAGGTGGATAAGTAGGATAAGTAACTTCTGACAGTACATTTTTTAATAACGTATCTAAAATCTGGTGTGTGTGTTTTTTATTTTCCTATTAACTAAAATTCCAACTGATTTACATAATTTGAAGAAAATCAAATCAGCAACAAATGTATTGATTACCTGGATTTAATTTAGAGGGATTTTTTTGGGGTGGGCTTAACTGTACCATTTCTGACAGGAACCAAATTTGTTAAATCTATTGAAATACCATAAATGATTTAATTTTGCCCCTTTCTGCTTGCTGCAGGTATGGTTTTGGAGTGCTGGATGCTGGGCTGATGGTGCAGCAGGCTGCACGGTTCCACAGAGCTGCTCCACAGAGAAAGTGCAAACAAGAGGTCACATTTAAGTCTCCCAGGTACAAAATCTTTGGATCTAACCCTTTAACTGCCTGGTCAACCAAATCAATGAACACTTGCTCTGAGAAATGCTGGTCAGAAAATGGCATTATGGTGTCCAGCTTAATTCACACGCTCATCAGTTGCTGGTTAAATCTGCAGGGCTTTCATGATAATAATGATTAACATTATTATTTTTGCAGACTTTTCTCTGCTAGAGGTCAAGTGAGCATCAACATTGAATCTGATGCCTGCCAGGGGACGGCCAATGAAGTCAATACGCTGGAGCATGTGCAGGTAAGGTTCTTCTCAGTATGTCTTAGTCTCCTCTGATATAAAGTATGATGGAGATGATCAAAATTTGAATGTAAAGTACTTCTCTCATAAGAGTTTATGTTTAAAATTTCCTACATTATGAATTTGCAACAGCAAATCTGCTACTGAGTTATCAAATTACCTCTTCCTTTCTTAAAATGATTTAGCCCACCCATTAAAATTGTCTTTACTGGCGTGCAGGTGGTGCAGTGGTTAGCATGCCCGACCCCTGTACAGAGGTCTACGACCTCGATGCAGTCAACCCGGGTTCGAATCTGACCTGTTGTCCTTTGCAGCATGTCTCTCCCCTTCTCTCACACCCTCTGTCTTGTCAGCCTACTGTCGAATAAATGAGCCACGAGTGCCATAAAAACTCAAAAAAGGAAATAATTGTCCCTACTTAACAGTAATCGCTATCTTTTATAACTTACTGCAAATTTAAAATAATATTAACAATTACCCTCCCTTTTCAGAGGCATATGCCAGTATTGGGTATTGCAGGCCGACAACGACCTCAAAGACTCCCCATTACTATGGGCTGGACCTGTTTTGGGGTTCAATTTGTATGTTTTCTAAGCCATCCCCAGGCTTTTGTTTGTGCCACTCTATACGCCTGGCACTCAACGCTTCTCGAGACATTTTGAATTGAGAAAGCTTCCTGGATGAGAAGCGAAAAATCTTCAAACTTAGAAAACAAAGTCCATTGGTTTGTTTTTTAATTTTTTAAACTTTTTTGGAATGACTATGACCTTGATGACTGTGAATCTTCCCCGGTTGAGATTGTCGCCTGCAGGAGCTTTGACCTTCTATACTTTGGCATTCTCTTAGAGAGCCAGACATTTTCTCCGAGGACTTCCACAAACCTGTAGCCTGATAAACCAGACAAAATGTGAGATGAAAGGTGTTATTTAGTCTGGCCCTGATGAATGAAACATCGCACTATTGTTGATGAGAACAACCCGTTGTTTTTCAAACTATTTCTGTGCCTATTGGCCAACGCTCTGACCAATGAGCCCAACTGACTGTGACTCGGTAAGCGTGATAGAAAGCTGGTGGGGGAGTGTAAACAAGCAGCGTGTTGGTAAAACAAAAAATGAATGATCATAGAGCCTCTTCTTGTTCACGTTTGAACAAAAACCCCAAGTCTATCCTTCCAAAACTAATTCCAAAGCTGCGTCAAAAATCGCCATCAGAGCCAGCGGTCCTTCAGACACGACTATGCCGAGAAAGGGCCGCTGCAGACGGTCTAGCCTTGGCTGTTGTTAGCCTCGGAGCTCCACTGGTTGCCGCGGTCCTCATCTTCAGAAATAGATTTTTTACTTACGAATTAAATCGGTAAATGGACCATATAGTGACGCTTTAAAGTATAATATTCTCACCTCAAATGATCTTAAAATGTATTTTATTGAACAACAGCAACAGAAAACTTTTTACTTTCAATGGAGCTCCATTGAAAGTTGCTGCTGCCCCAGTGCATGCTACTGTTCGATAGTTGTTGCCATCTTCCTTATTGTGCTTTCTCCAGCGTCATGCAGCTTTGTCATCATGCCCTCAAAACCCCGCCCACTTTGCATAAAAACTCAAAACATATCTCTGCGTTGTGATTGGCCTGCCAGTTCTAGGGCCAGGGGCATTGTTCGAGGCTAGACCCACTCGCAGGCAAAAATGATTTTGGCCGCTGGTGGGTGGGACTAGTTTACTAGTCTACCAAACCTGACTTAAGCATGACAGTGGCTCATTCCTGAGCCATTGCCATGCTTCACTGAAGAAATTATCTTTTCAGCATTTTCTTCATTCTCCAAATATACGGATCCATCAAAAACTCAGTTTCTATTCATCCCTGCACATGGTGGGGTCCCTAAAACCTCTCTGGTTTATTTATATAGCTGTAAACAAACCACTGCTCACCAGCTTTTTGCTTTTCTAAATCTAGGAGTTTAGACGTCGCTCCACTTGGTGTCCAGTATAGGCCTTATTGTAGAAACTAAAACTATAACTATCTTTGCTTATCTGTGTCCAATGTAATGACATTTTCTCTGATTTTTTCTTGGCCAATCCTCTTGACTCTGCAGCACTTCTGGTATTTTCAGTGTTGTTTCAAGAGCATCCTACTAAATCCTACTAAAAAAGACGCCTCGTTGTATCATGTGTCTGAAGCCACATCTGAGTCTATAATGTGTGTTCTGTCAAAGTAGCACCAGGACGCTCCGCTCCAAATCTGCTGCATACTCACCTTAATTTTCAGGAGAAGGCATTTTCTGACATTTTTCCTTGGTGTAATTATGTCAGGGCCCTGGGACACACAGCGTTTGATCTAATGATGTGACTGAAACATGTGTATTGTTTTATTTAAAAGGCTTTTTCCCAGCTCTGAACGTATCACCTCACTTCATTCATGTTGCCCCGTGTTTCCTATTTATTCTAAATGTATTTCACTACATTAAAAAAGGTATCTTCGCATCCCATTACAAATGAGATAATAGCGTATAATGCATGTATTGGATCCATTTTCATAAACAGGCTCTTACCACAACAATCACTTTATGTAAACCCACTCTGTATTGTTAAGTATAGTTAGTGTATGTTTTTTATGATATTGTATCCCACTTTTTATCAAACAATAAGCAATCCTTGTCTCGGGGGTTGCGTGGTAAAGTTGAAACATAGACTATGACAGATTCTAGGCCCAGACTACAGCATAGGCATTGGCCTAGGTTTTAAGTCAAACATTAATTCAAATATCGGAGCAAACTGGAGCGGAGCAAAATCCTTGCTCTGGCCTTTGAATGGAAAACCGCTCCGCGTTCCACCATATTTCTTCCGCTCCGCTCAGATGCTCTGTCAGACAGCTGAATAATTTTAACACTACAGCAAACAATAAAGTGGGATTTTGTGTTAAATTTTAGTAAAATACTTGTTTTATTTCATTCATTAAAATTTCTAAACTGTTCTTGACTGATTTGTTTATTACCAATAAAACAATTAAGCAGTAAAGGTTGGAGAATTGTAGGTGCCAAGACGTTCTTTGCACAGTTTCGACAAATGAAATATAAAAGTGAAATCAGTGAAGTTTAAACGGCCAAGCAGATGGATTTTGTTCTCTTTGACAGTTTTTCTTTTATCTAGCCAGTAGGCTTAGATAAGCTGACCTGATGCAGCTCCTGTGAGAATGATATGGTAGATAAGATCAGATTGGTATCATCTGTCTCTTCATCCAAATCTCAGCTAGAAATGAAAATATAAGTTGGTTTTCTAACTTTTTACTTTAAAAAAAAAAACAGGTGTATTTAACCCTCAAATGTTCTGATATGTTCTTACAGTTTCTTGCAAAACTATTCACGCCCCTTGACAGTTTTTCCCTTTTTTTAATTTTTTTTCTATCACAACAAACAATACATTTATGCGTAAAAACAACAAAAAATTGTGTATTTGTTAATGTGAAAGTATGTTGACGTGTGCCAGCGTACTTCAGTGTGTTTCGGCATACTTGAGTGTGAAGTCATTCATCCATCCATCCATCTTCGGTCACGCTTATCCCAAGCGGGGTCAGGAGGTGTGCTGGTGCTTATCTCCAGCTGTCTACTGGTGAGATCTACCCTGGACGGGTTGTCAGTCCATCGCAGGGCAACACAGAGACAAACAGGACAAACAACCATTCACACTCACACCTAAGGAAAATTTAGAGAAGCCAATTAACCAAACAGTCATGATTTCGGACTGTCAGGGGAAGCCGGAGAACCCGGAGAGAAACCACACATGCTCAGGGAGAACATGCATACCCCATGCAGAGAGACCCCAGGCCAGGATTCAAACCCAGAACCTTCTGGCTGCAAGGCAGCAGTGCTACCCACTCGGCATGTTTTGTATAAGTTATGATTAGCGTCAAGTCATAACTTATACAAAATGTATCCATAATTTATCCATTTTTGCATTTTTTTCGTATGTCAGGCATACACTGTCTAAATCATCAACATGTAACAGGGGCTTTAGATAGTATGGAATTTTCTAAGTTTAAAATATTCAAAAGCAAACTTTATAATAATAAAAAAACAGCTCTAGTATGTTCCAGTAGTTCCAGTCCAGTCGATTGATACCGCTTAATACACAGCATGCAAACGGCGACCTCGATGTGTGAAAAATGTAACAAGAGATATATAATTTTTGAAGTGATTATGAGTGTTTATGTATCAGTAACAGTAATTTTTAAATGAATAGAAAAATTACAACATATTAGGGCCAACTTGTTCCACTAGTTGCAGATCCCATTCTTTCTACTAATGCTCCACTTTCCATTTGCCCTTGAAAACATGCAAATCCAGCAGAATCAGTTTCAAATTCAAACTTCTGGCTTGAAGGGAGGCATGAAGATGTCATACAAATTGTTTTCGAGTTTCTCTGTCATGCGCTGTATCTCAGAATAGAGGAGATGAAGGGAAAAAAAAAAAGAATCCCACGGTGATGTGTAATGTGTTGGCAGTGTCATTTGCAGAAAAATGGCAAAACTGTGTTTTCTTGAGCACCGCCACATACATGCAAATGTGTTTATATTTGATTGTGACAGCAGGCATACGTGTCTGTTGGTGCACATTTGAGTTTGAGTGAGTTATCGGTGTTTGTGAGTTTGTGTACTTGTGAAATAGCGGCGAGAGAGAGAGAGACACAGAGAGAGAGGGAGAGAGAGAGTGTCAGCATGGAAATTGAAAAGGCTTCATCTTTGCAGCTCTGCTCCCTGGCAGAAAGCGTGGGTCAGGCCATCGCTGCGAGGTGTGATTGATGGACGTGTTGCCGTGGTAACATGCCGTAAACAGAACCGGGCTGTCAGTCTTTTTGCAGCTTGGCGGCTCTCTCCTCGATGTGCCATTGTCACACCAGATGTGCTGCTTGTGATGAACAGGGACAGGGCGGGTGTTTACCGGGTTGTTGTTGGGTTTGGTGGGGTGGGGGTAGGAATGGAGGGGGGGTTGCTTATCTAAATAATTTAGCTAATATTCCCCTCAGCTGTTTCTGGATTATTTTTCTCCCTCTTCTTCTCTCTCTACCTGCTTGTTTCCGTGCATCCTTTTAGGGGAGGGGGGCGGTTATGGACAGATCATTGCCATGTCCATCTGTTTGGCACGTACAGCATGACAGACAAGAGCAGCTGGATTTGGTTATAAATTCACTAACAGAGAGCACCGTAGTAATTCCTTGCTCTGGTTTCAAAATTACTGCGGTTTGGAAGCGATATAGTTTGTGTGACCTTAAGCCATCCCACTGGTTGTGTACCAGATGTGTCTATTGGCATTGACTGAAACGAAAAGGACTGAGGATTTGTCTTAATCGTACAAGGATGAGATGATAACCTTGTCTAGGGAGGATGCAAAAAAAACTAACTTGACTTATTGTGTGAGGTGTTCTTGTATGTCTAAAAAAAGTTAAATTAAATTTATTTTGTCTGCTTTGAAAATAAAACTAAAAGCTTACAAATGGAGGTTCAACTATGCAACATGCAATTTATACAGAGCAAAGGCAGTAAACTGTAAAAAAACAACCTCCAACATTTTGAATATTCAGGTTTGTTTGCATAAACGCGTTTGGGTGAGCACCATTATTATGTGTCATTTGTAAAAATGAGCTAACACCACTGGGTAAGGGACACGTTTCCTGTACATAAATCACTACAAAATTGTCATTTAGCAAATATAAAGCAATGCTTCAAATGCTTTATATAAATATGGGATTCTGTTACTGCAGTTACTCAAGTAATTCTTTAAAAATATATACTTTTAGAAGTACTCTGCACTACACTTTTAAATTGTACGTGTAATATCCTATGCCTAAGTAAAACATTTGTTTATCTGTCAAGGTTGTTAGATGTTGTGGTGGACCCAAATGCAGAGTAGAAGAGGCAGGGATGATTTCTTGCAGAATTTAATGAAAAAGTAAAAATACAGAATCCATTGTCCAAAAGCGATCAACAAGAAACGAAAGAACCAAAACACTAGGAAACACTAGGGAGGAATGAACCTAAAGAATGACAAGGATCCAGCAATGAGTAGCTGAACAGGATGTGTATATAATGGAGACAGAAACAAGGGAGCAGGTTTAGACAAAGGTAACTAGAAGGAGCCAAGGGATAAGAAAAGGACACCAGGGGGGAGGCAAAACTAAGAATACAAAAAAAAACAATGATGGAAATCTTGAGAACCCAAAAAGTAAAAACTTAACAGAAACAAAGGGTCCAGAAAGTAAGACCATAACATTAATTCATCGATTGTGAGTAACTTTACCAAACAACGAAAATGCATGTTTTAAAAAAAAAAGTACTTAATGGATATCACAGTTGAGGTTCATGTCAAAATGAGTATTTTTTTGTAAAAGTTATGGCAGATTATGCATATGATTTGGAGGACATATGTTTGGCACTGAAAATCAAATCTGGCTATTCTGATCCATCTTTAAAGGCTATTTAAAACCAAATAAAGCAATGTCCAATTTAACCACTGTGGTATTTATACTTTTCAAACTGAATTGCTTTTTTAAACAGTTAAAGTCCTATTAAGCACCATTCTCAGCATGGGTTTCACACCTTAAGATCACCAGTTACAGCACTGCCTCCTGCTTCCATTTACTGTGTAAAAATAAGCCTTGGCTACTTTGCAAATTACCATTCAATGTAAAAATAAATGCAATTGAAGGGCTAATAAAAGAGCACACTGGATTTATTTTAAGACACTAAAAGGGTGCTTTGTTTTAGGGAGGAAGTAACCCTTAGCTTTACCTTAGCTTTTTCATTTCTGATAAAGTTTTGTTCAATCAAAACTGTCATATTTCTGCAAACTCTTCAAAGTTTAAGTGTTGCTAAAGTCTCTGGGAGCTTCTGCTTATCTTAACTTCTGAGAGCTTGAATCTATCTGTATTATTGTCTGTCTCTTTAAAACCTAATAAACAGTGGAAGGGGTTCACTTTTTAGATCAGATGAGAGGTTGTGCTTCTTCATAGGATAATAACTCAACATGTTTATGACTCGTCCTCTTTCAGCAAATGCTTTATTCATGCTTCTCTACTCCCCAGGTGAGAGTGAGCCTTACTGCACCGTGTCGAGGTGACCTGTCCATAAGTCTGGAGTCTCCCGGTGGAACCGTTTCTCTGCTGCTGGACACTCGGCCCAATGACGACTCGGCCGCTGGCCTGAAGAACTGGACCCTGATGACGCTGCACTGCTGGGGAGAGCAGCCCAGAGGCCTGTGGACCCTTAAGGTCAGAGGATAAGTGCTGCCCTCAGTTTTGCTGACTTAAATGTCTGGAACAGCCTTACTAGTCAGTTTTCAAGATAGATTTAGGATATCACTATATCACCACTGTTAGCTCTGAACTGAAAGTGTTGATTTAGTGATGAATATGAAAAGCATCAACACTTGAATTATTTTATTAAAACTGGTACACGAAGAAACTATTTTCTGTTTTTATTCTAAACAATAAAAGAAACTCTTATTATGGTCTTATGTCTTCATCAGTAACAGTTCACTACAGTTGCTTTAGTCATTTACAGGTATGTCAAGATTTTACAAAATAAGTGCTTTGAAACGAGTTCAGTTGAAGTTAGAATTCTGCTAGACAGTGGGTCAGGATGAAAATGGATTATAAATTTAGTGATTATTTATATTGTCTTTAGGACACTTATTAATTACAGAAAGGTTTCCAAAGTCTTTTCCCAGACATTGATGTTGCTAGCTTGATAAAAAAAAACAAAAAAAAACACAAAAGTGGAAGTAAAACTGTTAAAGAAAGAAAAAGCAGATCTAACAATAGTCTCTTTGGCTTTCTCTTAACTACTTTTTTCTTCAGTGTAATGGCATACGTACCTTAAAAAAAATCATAATACTGCCACCATCACATGGTCTGATTCCCCTGCTTTACAGGTCCAATCTCCATCCCAGGATATGAAGTGAAAATTCTGACAAAATGCAACATCATAGTAAATACTCATACAACAACTTTTTATTTAAAAAAACACACACGAGTGTGGGTAGCACTGCTGCCTTGCACCAAGGGGGTTCCGGGTTTGATTCCTGGCCCGGGGTCTTTTGCATGTTCTGCATGGGTTCTCTCTGGGTACTTTGGCTTCCTCAGCCAGTCCAAAAACATTGACTGTTAGTTTAATTGGCTTCTCTAAAATTCTCCTTAGGAGTGAGTTTGTGCTGAATGGTTTGTTTGTCTCTGTGTTGCCCTGCGATGTGGTGACCTGTCCAGGGTGTCCTGACCTCCTCTTGCCCATTGACAGCTGGATATAGGCACACGCACCCATCTCAACCCCTGCTGGGATAAAGCGTGATAGAAAATGGATGGACACACACGTGAACTGCTCTCCACAAGCATTTAAAAAAAAAAAAATGTTTTTTTTCAGATTTATTACCGTCAGCCCGCCAATATATTCAAACCATGAGTCCATGTTTCTTCTCTGCACTTTCTTGCTTTTTATGCTCTTGTAGATTCTCTCCTACTCTTTTTGTTCCCAGTGTTTTATTGTCATTACACTGTCACAAGTACAGAGCAATGAAATGAACTCTCTGCATTTAACCCATCCCCTTGGGGAGCAGTGGGCTGCCATTGTGCAGCGCCTTGGGAGCAATGTGGGGTTAAGGGTCTTGGGCAGGGACCCAGAGCGGCAGTCTGTGGGAGTGGGGCTCAAACTCAGAACATCTGGATTTCAAGCCCTAACCACTAGGTCACCACTCCCCATAGGGGACCTGTTTCTGTCGCTCATGTCAGATTTTGTCCCTTTGATGCTGGAACCAACCTGTGAAAGTAGAATGCCAGTTAATGAACCCGCCTGTTAGGAAACTAGGTACTTTTCAAGAAATCCCACCTCTACCGCCTCTAGTTAGGGCTAGAAATGCTAGCTAAACATCTAGCTAGCTAAACATCTAGCTAGCTAAACATCTTCATTTAAATAAAAAACAAGCAACGAGACCGGACCAATGCTTTCATGATTGGGGAGCTCATGGCTCCTTAATCTGCATAACACATTCAAAGTAAGCATGGCGAGTAGTTTGTATCTGTGATTTAAAATAAAACGTCTAGTATATGTTGACCTGGTAATTATTGGCAATCCAGCCCCACCCTGGACTGCTAATAATAAAGGGAGCTAAAAGTGCCCAAAGTGCACTTGAATGTTATGCGGTTGCACTTTTTGCAGAATTCGGACTTCATATCAGAAACATTTGTTTCTTAATAGAAGCCTAAAGATTTTTTTGTGCAAAACTTAATTCAGCATGCATTATTTCTTGAAAGAAACTAAAGAACTGAGACTATAGCTTTCACACTGAAAACCCGGCTTTTTCAAAATCGGGTTGACCCGCTAACAATCAGCTTTAGACTCTTTTCCGATTTGACCGAAAAGCTGGGTTTAACCCCCTCCTGGCAAACTGTGTAAACACTGTCCCCCACCACTGAGTGGCTGATGACAGCATTACGCTGTTAATGAAGTCGTCAGTGCAACGGAAATCTGTGAAGTAAATAACGGAGAGCAACATTGACGGCAGCCAGAGTGCCTTTGAATGGTGAAACCTGGCGACGAATCTCCTTCTTTGCGGATCATAAGGAGCTCACAAATCTCTCTATTTTGCCAGTGCTGTGCCATGTTCCTCGAATACAAGCAGAGTTGTTTGGGCTTGTTATTTAACACGCATTCAGCACAATGTTGAGACATCCGTACGTTGCGCTCAAATTCATCACGTAATTTAGCGTATTAACCCGGGTCTGGTGTTCCCACTGCATGCCAATCAGAGCTGAGGCAATTTTAACACGGGTCGCATGCAGAGTCATTTGTTCCCACTGCCACTAAAAGCTGATTGTTCCTGGGTTTAAACTGATTTTTAAGCCAGTGGGAAAGAGGTCATTCAGAACTCTGGCCACATAAAAGCATTTAGGGGGGCTATTTGTAGCATTCATTTTTGACACCACACAACAGACCAGCACCAGATTTTTTATTAATAAAAATCTGAAAAGGGTGCTTTGTCTTTCTATTAACTCTACTTTACTCCCATACCACATGATATAATATAGTTTAATCAAATATCTCTAAAGCCACCTGATTAAATTCTTGTTGAAAAAGCCTGTTGAGACAAGCCAGGTAGAAGTCGGTGCTTTGCTCAAGTAACACCAGAGTTGATCTCTCTGATCACTCAATCACTCAATTCACTTGTTAACTATCACTGCACATAACCCTTAACATTACAAATATAGAAGGAATTAACTTTGGGGCTGTTTTCTTTAGCATCTTTAGCATGGAGAGGGATGCTGGTTAGAATTGATGAGGAGATGAAATAAGCTGAATCCAGGACAACCCTGCAAGTTGTTTGAGGCTACAAAATACTTTAGAAAAGGATGGAGGTTCACCTTCTAACAGGATAACATCCTTAAATGCATCTATCTCTTGTCTATGCCCACTTATCCTTGCAGGATTATGCAGAGGCTGTATCCAATGTCAAGTGGTCATTGGGAGAGATGCACGGTATAGCTTGGATAAGGTTCTAGTCCATTATAGGACTCAACATACAGCCAGAGATACAAAAGAATGGTTTCGATCAAAGCAAATTCATGTTAAATGCTTGGCATAATTCCAGTAAAGAACATTTGAAGGTATTTGAAATATGCAGTTGAGAGATACTCTGACTGAAAAATGAGCAGACAAAATCATCCTTCTGCAGATTTGCAAAACATTCTGTCTTTAAAGTAAAAGGGATATTCATATTTAAATGTCAAATCATTCTGGCTTAAACGTGTATATAAATATACTCTTTATCAGATGATATTGTCCAAAAAGTTAGAAAATGTCTATTTTTAAAAAAGCCTGTCTTAAAATCTGTGTTGTTGTTTTTTTTTTTCGTTATCTTATGCAGGCCAGTTAGTTATACATCAGCTTGTACACCTAAATTCGTCCAATCACACATCAACGGTCATCTGTCAATCAAACAGCCGTTTCCCTACAACTTATAATATAATGCAGGTCTTAGTGGAGGTTAATCATATAGATCGGAGGTCTTCAACAGGGGTTCGCGATCCCTAAGGGGTCTACAGAGGTACTGCAATTTTTTCCACTAACTGAAATGTCTTTAAATCTACATTAACATGAATTCAACACACTGTAATAAACAGATAAATGGAGGCAGAAGATGTCTTTCAGTCATCAATGCACACATTCAGCGACACACAGGAGCTCTTTCAAGCTGGGCACCGTTTCATTCACAACACCTGTCCCATCAACCAGGAATCAGAATCAGAAATACTTTAATATTCCCAGGGAGTAATTACTTTTGTAATATTACTCCATCTGTAATAGAGTGACTATAGGACCAGTTCTATATAACACAATTTCATGCTATATATAAAATTAGGGGGTCCCTGCTCCATCTCGCCATCAGTTTAGGGGTCCTTGGCCTGGAAAACATTAAAGACCCCTGGTATAGATCCTAATGAAAGACACCAAATTCTCTGATGATATAAGAAGGTATTAAACGTGTTTTCAAGGCAAGTAAAAAAACTTCTCCATTGTGTCTGGTGACAACTCCCAAAAGTCTTCTTGGAAAATTGTCTCTCATGATATAGAAATGATTTCTGATGCTTCACATTGTCCTCTGCCAGTTGTTGCGGCGTACAGAAGTTTAAAAATAGCCCAGCCCAGCTCAGCTCAGCCTGCTTCAGTTCATTTTGCAATAGCAAAGTGAATCATCCTCTACTTTCATCTCCGAGCTTCAGCCAAGCAAGGCAATCTTCATTTTCCTTCCTGCTCTCTTCTCTTCCTTTTTTTTTTTTTGTGTCTCTCATAGATGTGCTGATGTTTGATATGGAGGAAGGAGCTAAAATGGAAGGGAAATTAGGACTGGGAGGTTAAGTAACCTTGGTTGGGTTTGACAGACACAATGCTGTCTGATTACAATCCACTTTCACAGACGGCAGCTCTGAGGTCATTTACTATATATATATGTGGGTGGTATCTGATGTAGTGGAAGGAAGGGAGGGAGGTTACTGTGTAGGTATGTAGCGCCGGTTTATATGTGTGCAAATAGGCATCAGTCCTTGTAAACAGTAGGAGGCTTGCTTAATAAAAAAGTGTGAAGATGAAAGACACCCACCTTCTGTCCTCCATCACCTACCTCTTCCTGCAAACACGTGCGCTCGCTCTTTCCCTCCATCTCTACCTCTCTGTGTCTTGTCTTAAGTCGTCCTGTAGATTTACTGTCCCCTCTGTGACCAAT